CTTAGGGCCTTTGATTTACCAATACATAAGAAGGAAACCTTACACTTACACACAAAGTGGAAAACTTCAGGTCAATGAAACAATAAGTACCAATAGAAGTAGACTAGAAGGTGTGAAAACACACAAGAGCAGCCAATCACGCTCAAGATAACCAGGAGAGATGACTAACAAACTCGTGAAGAAATCTAAAAGCTCACTTCAACGAATTGAAGTATGCGCTGAAGAAAGATGTCACCTAGTGGGGCAATAAAAGCTTCGCAAATAAACCACCCAGCTAGCTCAGAGAACAAAACCACATGAGAGTTTGAGAATACCTGCAAATATAACTAGCGCTTCAACAAGAAACAGAAAAGACTAAGTCCTGCAGAATTGAGTCAGTTTAAATGCCAACAGTTTTTTTATTCCGTTTGCCTTCCAAGGGGAACATTATGTTTTGAGTCCTATGAATTTTAGTGGAGATTTGAACGAATAAGTTCCAAAATAACTGGGCTCCGAGTGAAAAATAGGCATCTATAAAAATTTTATTTGTTAAATGCCAGCGAAATTGAAATAAGTAATTTTAACCTTTCTTGCATTCGGCAAATTGGTCTGAATTCCTTCAGGGAAATTAATCAAAATTAAAATACCGAAGATATGTATTATAAGAGGACGACACATCTTGCCCTTAGAAACCTTGCCCAATCATATAAGTCATAAACAGAAATCAAAATAAAATAAAGAGAACTGCATGAACTCAGATCAAAATTTGACTTTATTTAGACTTACAATTATTAGGATTGGTCTTTAGTTATAAATCCATGATTCCATTATAACACAAACAGTCATTAAAAGTATGTGAAAATTATATTGGAAACATTATTGTTGGGGTACATATGTCTGTTTTCAATGGGTTGGTCTCTGACGAAATGTCATCATGGATACAGAGGGCTAGTTTCGCATATACCTGGCGTAGACGTGATATCCGGCCATCGACCATAGGGCATGTGCACTGCTCAGCAGTCCACTCCGTTCTCCTTTATGGCTGTGAGTGAGACCTGGACATTGAGAGTGGAAGACATGAAAAGATTAGCCGTCTTTCGTCATAGGTGCCTGTGGTCTATCTCCCGTGTGAAGTTGTATAATAAGGTGAGCAATATTGAGGTTAGGCTTCGGTCGAGTGCTAGGTAAGCAGGGGAAATCAATCGACGAGGCTGTGAAATTACATCGAGTGAGATGGTTAGGACATGTGTTATGTATGTCTAGTCATCGCCTTCCTCGATGGGCAATGTTAGCTGACATAAGGTCAGGCTGGAAAAGAGCTAGCGGTGGTCAAACCAAAACATGGCTTCATCAGTCAATGAAATCTACAACAGTTAGTTTAAGCCAGTCACATACGAAGGTGTACAAATGCTGACTGGTTGGGGTCCTCGGGACGGTAAAAACCAATGGTTGGAAACAATTGGTGATATGGCTGGAAATCGTTCTTAATGGCTAGTGCAGATGCATCCATTCCTTGTGACTTATGATTTCCAATGAAACTATATTGTTCTTCGTTCCTTTGTTTCCTTTGTCTCACACCTCTGTTTACTGTCTCTATTATGCATTTCTTCTACTGTCTTCTTTTGCTTTGTGTGCTACATGGAGTGTGGCGATTTGAACTGTCGCACACTGGTGCATTGTTCTATGTCGAAAACAGACGGAACATATAGAATATGGAGAGGTAGTTCGTTACTTAATATTGTCAATTGAACGTAAATAAAAATAATGTGCAGTCATTCAGAACATAAGATACAGAGTATTAACAGACAAAAAGGGTGACATACTAATGCATATATACGGTCAACAGAATATACGAACTCGCCTTATAAACAGAAGGTCCTGAGTTCGAACCCTGTCGATGGGTGCGTACTGCTGAAGAGTCCCAAACTAGGCTGACGAAACAGCTGTCCAGTACTCCCAGCTGGTTTTCCAATGGTTCTCTAACTAATGTCAGCTCATGATGAAATCCTGTAACCAATTGACCAAATCCCTACAAACCAGTACTTGAAGAACAGAATATAAGTTTCATTGGGGGGTGGGGGGTCGTGAGAGGCGGGGAGTGAGTTATATTCAATGGTGTGCGGGGGAATGATTACCACAAAACACATACAAACAAATACGAAAATGAAATGGGAATTGCAGATATTCAAGTGTAGTGATAAAATAAAGAGGTTAAATTGTGAATTGTAATGAAATACTAGAGACATAATAAGCTTAGTGTAAATTACAAAAGGTTGACATATATCATACATGTACCCTAACAATATACAGTTTCCGACATAATTTTGACACACCTTTAATGGTTATTTATATTATAATGGAATTATGGATTTATAACTATGTAGAACCTGAAGAAGAATTTATTGAAACTACATTTGTTCGTTCAAAATCATATTGTTCTGATTATACTCTTGGGATTTTTAATTTAAAAGTATTAGTCTGCTGTTATGTTGCTGCTGCTGAGTGGTTAATAGTAGTTTTCCCCGTCGCCAAATTATTGTTATGTACTGGTCGAGAATTTAATAGTCCTGACGCAAGGAAGACGGAAATCAGAAGACCACTAGGTTTGCGATGATACTTCTATTTTCCAAACACAAGGAGAAGCAATAAGTGGTATCACACCAAAGTAAGTAAGTAGTCACAAGATTGTGAGAACGAAATATATATATATGACCGTCCAGACAAGTGTGTGAACAAATCAATAGACAGTCTTAACATGAATGGCTAATTATAATGGAGTGTCGATCCAAATATACATAGCAAAATATAGCAGACATGTCAACAACCACCATATATGGATATATGTCACCAAGCAACGGACTGTCAACAAACACTCATATTATATATAATATAAGGGGAATATACATTGTTAAAGGAGACAGGTTCATCAAAATGAAATGGTCACAGACTAAGCGAGCAACAGAAAGAGAGATCACCATACACACACACACATAAATATATATATGTGGATACATATCATCTACCTTTTGTAGGACACTGTAAACAGAGTGTGTACTTTTCATTATGGGTAGAATTAATTTTGATAAAGTCTTACAGTACTATGCAGTAATATTTACTGATGACCACCTTTCGAGCAGAATTTATTACTGCTTATAAGCATGTCAAGGCATTACTCAAATAACTTTCTCACTTCGTTTATATAATTCCATCATTATTTTCCATCGCTTGATTTGATTGGTAGTAGTATTTCCCATATTTCTGGTATGGGTGACGAGTCATTCCCATTGAACATGCTGGGTGCAGACTCGATGAACAAAGATTCAGAAATCAACCTCTCTCCCTCTCCCTCTTCACCTACCTATATTACTTCTTAGAATTTTAACCCTCTCCCACTACCCTATTGTGTGGTTGTGTGTTAATGCGTGAAGTGCGATCACTGAGCTTTTTTCTAAATTACTTAACCTCTCGGGGTCAACCATTCTTACCCTAGCTTAATTCTTATGTTCCGACAATCTGACTACCCGCGATCTACTAGTTTGACCTATGTAGCTGACCTCAGTCAGTGCAAGTTATTTTTGGGATTATATTATTTTGTCTAATTGGGTCAACCGACAAAATCCTTTAACCTATACAGCTTGTCCTTGAGTGAGTTTGTAGGTTTAAATGCCACCCTAATTCCTGCTTTATTAAGAATCCTACTTAGGGTCTCAGATGTCCCCTCCAAATATGTTATAACAGTGGATGACTTATATTCTCTCTTATTTATGTTATCGTTACTAGTTTCACAATTATTTTTATTTTGCTTTTGACTTTTTCTGATCTTCCTAATTAATCTTTTAGGGTAGTTATTTGATACCAACGCTTCATCTATCTGTTTTATTTCATCATTTAGTTCTCTCTTGTGCTGCTTAGTGCTAGTGCTCGGTTTGTCAGACACTTAACTAAACCAGCCTTTACAGACAACGGATGAGATGGATTAAAGTCTAAATATCTATTAGTGGAATGCGTTGGTTTTCATAAACCCGGGTGTGCAGTTTACCTTCTTCTATTCGTTTTATTTTACAATCTAACATCATAGCTAATTCTCCTTGTTCATATTCCGATTCGAATGTGAATTTTATTGGCTTTACTAGTGAGTTTATATGCATCAAGAAGCTAGAGATATGTTCTGTGTTTAACACTGTGAAAGTGTCATCCACACATCTCCACCTTATTTTGGGAATTGAATTAAATGTAATAATAGCAATATTTTTTCAGCTGTCCATAAATATGTCGGCTACAATAGGGGATATTGGTGATCCAACCAATTGCCACACCACCTGTTTGTCTATATATTTTGCCTTGGAATTTGAAGACAGTAGATGTGAGGCATAAGTGAATTCCTAAAATAATTTCCTCAATGGGCAGCTTCGTCCTATGAGTTAGTTCATGATCTGCAATTAGTTCTTTTTTAACTGCTTCTAAGGTCATATTGATTGGTATGGCTTCGTCATTGTTATATCAGTGTATACTTTTGCATCAGAATTTTAGTGATTATGTCCAACTAAAGTTCATGGTCTTAGATAACTTAATGTAAAAAATATACGTGTATGTGTGGTATACAATAAAATATATAGTTTAGTTTGTAAGGGTTAGTTATTTTTTTACGAGTTGATCACGGATTGATATGAGTTAGAGAACCACTGAAAAGCAGGGAGTACTGGACAGCTGCTGTTTCATCCTAGTGTGGTGAGAGCAGGCTGCTAGCCGATTGGTTGGCACTAATCTACGTTAAGGTCTAGGTCACTAATATGGGCCGTGAACAAGGCTGAGTCAACAACCAATCACAGCGAAGTTAACGTGGCAAAATATGATTCGCAGATAGAGAACTCTGTTTGTCAAGGAATCCCGAAACAACCAATCAGAAGCCTGCGTTTGTCTACCTAAACAACCAATCAGATGACTGCGCTTGTCTATAATAATGTTGTCTGAAATATGTATAAATACGTGTTGATTTTCATAATAAAACGATCTGTTGCCTGGCCCTTGTCTTCTGTTGTTACATTTGGTGTCGCTGCCTACCGACAAATGAAAAGCCTATACCCTGCAGTTTTTGATGGAGACATATGGATCTTCGGGCAGGACTTCAAGGCTTCTGCGCAGTTGAGTGGCGTTCAAGATCTGTCAGCGATGGAGCTGCTACTTGAGACGCTGCTGGGAGGTCGGGCGAAAGCAGCATATGAAGGTGTGGGCCGAAGTATGGACGAATGTTCGACAGGGTCAGGCAAACAGTTTCCAAAGTGGGAAGGACCATATATGGTCACTTCGAGATGGGGTTACGCAGACACAGTCGCAATGGCGAACAATGAGAGGCGCGTGAATGTCAGCGAGCTCCAGAAATGGATACAGCGAGACAAGCCAACGATGACGCCTGCACCAAGTAGATCAAGCCGACTTCAGTCGCACGTATTTGACGGGGGGACGAGTGTGGTGAGAGCAGGCTGCTAGCCGATTGGTTGGCACTAATCTACGTTAAGGTCTAGGTCACTAATATGGGCCGTGAACAAGGCTGAGTCAACAACCAATCACAGCGAAGTTAACGTGGCAAAATATGATTCGCAGATAGAGAACTCTGTTTGTCAAGGAATCCCGAAACAACCAATCAGAAGCCTGCGTTTGTCTACCTAAACAACCAATCAGATGACTGCGCTTGTCTATAATAATGTTGTCTGAAATATGTATAAATACGTGTTGATTTTCATAATAAAACGATCTGTTGCCTGGCCCTTGTCTTCTGTTGTTACACTAGTTTGGGAATCATCGGCATGAATGGTTTACAAGCTTGCCTTGTACCTGGAAGGTCCTGGGTTCGAGCCCTCGCGGTGGGTGCTTACTTCCGATGATTCCCAAACTAGGATGAAAAAGCAGCTGTCCAGTACTCCCTGGTAATCAATGGTTCTCTAGCTGGTATACAATAGTCTATGTGTGTGCACGTGTGTATGGGGAAACAGTTGTAAATCATTCGTTAACCTCTCCATTAGAAGATATAGACAATCGGGAATTTAGATTACATATGATTGATTAGTGACACATTTCCATTTTTATTTATTGATCAGGATTTGCCATGCATCAGCTAATACCACATCTTCAAACCTGTTCAAGATTTTGAGATTCACCAATATTGTGTTGGTGTGATACAGACAACGGAATATTATTCTCACATATTCCCTCAGTTAAAGTACAACATTAGCAACAGAATACTCTGCATATTCGGCACAGCGATATTTGGATACTCGCCTACCATGTAAATGGTTTGGGTGTTCGATCTCCGGCCGGCACACACCTGGTATCAATTGTCGGCCTGCTAAATTTGGGCTACCGATATTACATGCTGAAAATTTCATACTTGTACCAAAAATACTGTGTGGAATCAAGCTATGATAAAATATAAAATAAAAATTCTATTTCTTGTCGTTTGGTGTAAACTGAAATCACGAATTCAGTGATTCATTACTGAATATAAAACTATATATATATATAAACATCACTTTGATCATTTTAAAATATACCTTGGCTTCCGTGTATTGCCTTCTGCTGTTATAATATATGTAGGGTCTCCACAGTCAATATCTCTTCATATGAAATAAAACGAAGGAGCAAAAGTCTCTCTTTATCATCCAGTCCTGACCCACCTTCTCCTAATGTTCCGCGTAAACCTACGCATACTCATCCAACTTCACAAAATACTGCAAAGAAGACCCCGCCATCACCATGCTGGCATTGTGGCGCGTGGCACTTTGTAAAGTCCTCTCCGTACAAAAATCATCGATGCAGCAAGTGCAACATCATCGGTCATAAAAATGGATTTTGTGAGCCACGCAAACCCAGATATATTAATCCAGAGAAAGCTTGATCAACCGTTAGTCCTAAATCTCCAAGGAGATCAGTGAGTCTACTCGCAACCGGTCAAATCACAACACCAGGTATGCGGAAATATATTGATCTTCAGAGGAATGGTCACAATACTCGACTGCAGTTGGATACTGCCTCCGACATTACGGTTATTTTAGAGAAACTTTGGAATAATATTGGCAGATCACCTATCACAAATACTTCTCAGACTACTGTCAGCGCCTGTGGTAGGCGGCTCAAACTAATTGGTGAACTTCAATGTTCTGTTTCTTTCTGCAATATCAAATTCACAGCAATTTGCTACGTCACCCAGAATGATTTAAATCTTTTGGGACTAGATTGGTTCGACCGTTTACATCTGGCTGACGTCCCACTTTGTTCTCTATGCCATGCAGTCAAGAAACATAAAATGTCAAACAATTCCAGACAAAGCAGAAGCCGGGAACTCAACAAGCAGGCGAAGCGACAGACGTCGACAACTAACTCAGATAAACCCCCAAGAAAGCACGCTACTAATAATCAATCTTCTCAAAAGGGGAGATGATATGTAGTCACATGATGTGTGTTTTGTTTTTGACAGTCTGTTGTATTTTGCTGTGTGTATATTGATCGATATTTCGTTATAACTGACAATATGCTTTGTCTGTTCATTAACTCAATAAACAATGTATGACCTTTTTATCACATGACATTACAACCAATCAGAATCCAATCATGGTAAGAAAAACTATCTATCTGTCTTATTGGTTCATGTATATTAGTCATTTTCATATATACTATTGCACTGTACACTTTTATATACACACTTGTTCACAACTTTCGTGCACTAGTACCTTTTCACTCACACACTTGTGTGACAGTCAATTTCCCTTGTTGGAAAATAGACATATCTTCGTAAACGTGGTGGCCTTCTGATTTTGCCCTTTCCACGTCAGGGCAATTAACTACAGCAGCAGTACATAACATTTTCTTACAGTGTAGGGTTGCTAACCTCACTTCTAACTTTTCCTTTTTACCGAACATGTTATTATTTAAACGAGGTTTAAAAGTGTATTGGCTGGGGATCGAACTTTGAACCACTGAACCAATGACTCACACAGTTTATATAAAAAGTAAGCTAGGAAATTGTTTGTTTACTGCTGCAGTTTTCTGTCATTGATCTAGAAAAAAGATCTTCCTCTAAAGTGTGTTTAAATACTTCTGCTTATGATTTTCTTAGGTGTTAAGGGAACCGGTTGTATGAAAATCTGTGTTATTTTGTTCGATGATGGCTTGCAATGGAAATCAGAATATGCATTTCACTCAGTGAAGGATACTGTAAGGAATTCAATAACAATAATTCCTTCCACGCAAGCGGTAACACAGACACCTCAGTAGCCATTTGTATTCCGCTTTGGTGTTTGTTCGAAACTCAGGGTGCTGATTTAAAGGCTGAGCAGGAATATCAGTTCATCCCAGAAAGAAGATATTCTCAGCGGCTAAATTTCTAGTCGCCACAAATATGCATTAATATCAGATGGTTGGAGGTAATCGGAAGGAAGCCCGGCTTGACCTGGGTTTCGTGCCAACTGGCATTCATCAGTCAGTAAGGCGTATCTACAACTATCTTGAAGGAACTCATGTCCCTTCTGAGGTTCGAACCCGCGTCACCCAGTGAGAGCTGCAGTCAGAGACATCACCGATGAGCTATTCAAGCTCGCCATCGACCTCCTGTAGGAGTGCATTGAATATTTTTGTCTGTGTGTAACTGTTTATCTAGTCCCATCTTTGGCGCAGTCTGAATTCTATCAGTCAAGTTTCGATTTAGCCAGCAGGGATATGAGTTATCCCGTCAAAATTATAGATATGCCTTGGCGACTGGTGAGTGTCGACTTGCAAAGAATCTAGGTCCAAGTCCACCTTCCGATTGCCTCCAACCATCTGATACCAACAATTCACAGTGCACCGTGATGGCGAGCTACCTAGCATGGTGACCACATAGCAGACTTATAACTAACAGAATTAAGTTTGGACCAAGCAGAGTACTAGACACATCACACTAGTTACTAACTAGTGTGCAATCAGAGAAATACGTGGCTTGAATCCTACTATTGGTTAGGTGGGACCAAAACAACTTGTGGTCAATTCAGGGGAAGGAATCCAGAAAGAAATTCAGCTATAGAACTACATGCAGTTGAGCACAGGTATAAAGTAAGATAGGACTAGGTGACTGACTTAAAATATAGTACACCAGTATAAAAAACGAAACTGATAACTGAGGCTATCGGGATGACTCAACATCTGTACTTGACGTGCAGAAAATGATACTTCCTTTCCAAAAAATTCGAAGAAAGAATGAGTACTGTAAGAAATCGGGTTTTCAAGTTTTGTAGTTACAACTGATGAGATTTTGAACAATCGACTGTGTTCGAAGATTATTCACTGAGTAAACAATATTATCTTGCTTCACGTTATATCTAATAGGTTCCATCACCAGTTGACATCAGTTACGGAATTATTGGGAAACCTTGGAGGAGTCGATAGGTGTTTTATCCTAATCCGGGACTCATCGGTGGTGAGCACCCACCTCAAGGTGTTAAAACTAAGGTCTTCCAGTTACAAGGCAAGCTCATAGACCACTAAGACACTGGGATCCGATCTATTGGTCCATAAACTCGATTTTCTGCTAGTTCATCACATTTATAGCGCAACCTCCAGTTATTGTCACAGTTGAGTGACTGTTCGCCTACCAGACCTGATGGATCCCACTGCTTACGACTTCTCAGTAGAATTTCAGTTAATTTTCTGTATACAACCAGTCACTAGTGAGCATCAGATCAATTATCGAGTGTTGGTTTGCAGAGATTTGATTGCCGATAGGTTTGATCACACACAAGTTGACTTCATGAAGGTCCTAAGTTCGAACCCCATTATGTGCCTACAGTGAGGAGTCCTGAACTAGGAAGAAGCAGCTGTCCAGTACTCCAAGGCCTCCTAGTATTTCTCTCACTGATGTCAAATTGTAATCAAACATGTAATCAGTCAAATTCTTTCAAACCAACCCTTAATATATCATGCATTTATTCCCCTTGATGAATTTGAATAAAGCAAGAACAACAGTGTGGTTTGTGCAGAATAATATGGTACCATCATTGCTTATTTTGTTGGCTTCTCATCAGCTGCTTAAAGCCTATACAACAACGAAAGTCATGCCTCCTACCTACTCAGACTGTTCAACAACGCACATACAAATATTGTATTTACTATGGAACATGAAAATGATGGAAAGTTCCATTTCCTTGACATCACCATGCAACACCTAGAAGATGGTAGTCTCCAGAGGTCAATTTACCGAAAGCCGCCTACATGGAATGGACAATACTTGCATTTTAATAGTTTTTTGTCTAAATGGCTATAAACGAGCACTAGTCAAGACGCTGTACTATAGAGCGAGGAGAATATGCTCTGCAGAGAAACTAGAGAAGGAATTTACGATTCTCGAAAAGGTGCTGAAAAACAACGGTTGTCCTCAAGGATTCATTAACAAATATGGAAGATTTGAAGGCTCTAATATCAAACAAATCACAGTTGAAAAAAGCCTGTCTTCATTCAACTAGATTTTAAAGGTGAAAACATTGCAGAAATGGTCAACAGAAGACTGAGAACGTCACTAGCCAGAGCTAAGTTGGTTCCCGTTCATCGAACAACATGCTCTTTTGTGCAGTCGAAAGTCAATAGATACCCTTCTCATGTTAACTCTAACTGTGTGTACAAATTTATTATTTTTATTTATTATTTTGATTACAGCTTGATTCGACACTGTATTTTTGATACAAGTATGGAATTTTCAGCATGGATATCGGTAGCCCAAATTTCGCAGGCCGACCATAGATATCAGGTGTGCGTCGCCAGGGGATCGTACCTCGGACCATGTGCATGGTCGGTGAGAGTCCTAACCACTGTGCCACCGACGCACAATCCACATGTATCTGCGGGAGCAGTTACATTGGGAGAACAGAAAGAAGGGCACACCTTCGATTTTCTGAACATGTGCCGAAAAGCCTACGTCTCAAGGAACAAACTCTTATAGTAGCGCCATTACCAGCATCTCCTCGACACGGGTCATAAGGTAGAAATCGAGAAATCCTTTAAAATTTTCAATAGACAAAGGAGCTCCATTCTCCTCAACTTCGCCGAAGCAATTTCTATCAAACGCTTGAAACCAGATTTATGTGTTCAGAAAGAAGCAGTTATTAGTCTTCCCTTGCCCCGCCTGGTAACTGGGTGTCTTTATTTCTTTCATCTGATTACGTAATCTTTGTCTTTAACCTCACCTCCTTTTATAATCTGCATTTTTCCTTGTAGACAGAAGACAAGTAGTTCAGCGAAGAGTCTCTTTTCGGCGAATTCATTTTCATAGCTGTACAATCGCAAATATATATGGTTATTTTGTGTGTGTGTGTGTATACATTAAATTTGTCAAACGAAAATACAATTAGTAGGTTCAGATGAATTGGATGTTGATAAGAGGATAGCAACAAAAGTGATGAGTTGTCATAAATGATTGTTAAATAAGAGTTACGTAATGGCATGAATAGTTTGATGAATGAGTTGTGCTCAAAGGGTGTACATGGAAACAAAATAATATACAGAATTACACAAGGGTTTTAAGTTAGAAAAATAAGCATACAAACAGAAGTAAGGTCAAATCAAACAAACAAAGAAAAGTTAGGTCAAATCAAAGGAGTAGTTACCATGCGAGTAAAAGTGGTTGGATAATTTTCTTTTGTATGCATAGTTCTGGTTCCTCCAACTGGATGGCTAGGGCTTCTGCGATGCAAAGAAGACGGAATCGTACTGTCTTTGGAAGGTTGTTCTTCACTTTGTAGATTACTTTGAAGGAGGCGTTCGTTGAGATGGAATGACCAGTATTGACGAGATGTTCGATTATTGCACTCCTTATATGGCCATTATTTCCTTTCTGTAGCCACGCTGGATAGTGTTCTTTTACCCTTTTAGACAGGATGCGCGTTGAACGACCGATGTACCTGGCTCCACAGCAACAGGTGAACTGATATATACACATAGAAGTGGTCATGTGCGGAATCTTGTCCTTTGGGTTTCTGCAGATCAGCGGGCGACTGGAGAACACTATTCTTAGTGTTGCCGCAGGGAAAGTTCTTCCTAAAGAGGTGGAAATTCTCCTTCTGAGGACGTCACTAAATAGGTCTCCTTTGAAGTCTAGGTTCATATAAAGTATCTTTTTCGGCACGGATAGTGTCTCTTGCTTTTGGTTTTTCTGTTTGATGTTTTTCTCTACAAATCTTGGTGGGTAGCCATTTTGTATGAAGATTTCTTTCAGGAAGTTTAGTTCTTCTTCCATGGTGTCGGAGCTGCAGATGCGTCTGACGCGAGTGGCAAGGGATTTAATTAGGTTTCTTTTCCGACTGATTGGTACCCAGCTGTAGAAACTTGTTAATTGTCCGTTCCAAGTCGGTTTCCTATAGATTGACCTTCTTAAAGTTCCGTCATCTCTCCTTGTAAGCTCAACATCAAGAAAAGGGATTTTAGATTCATTTTCAGTTTCCAAAGTGAAATTTGTGGCTGGATGGCATTTGTTGAATATTTGCAGTAGTTGATTGAGATCGTGACCGTCATCACAGATGATAAAGATGTCGTCAACATATCTAACGTACAACTGGAAATTGTCGATGGTTGATTTGAGTGGGCCATTCTCGAGGCTTGCCATGAAACAGTCTGCTAGTAATGGGCCCAGTGGAGATCCCATTGCGATCCCATCTTGTTGTCTGTAAATAATGTCGTTGAATGTGAATTGCACATCAGTTCACCTGTTGCTGTGGAGCCAGGTACGTCGGTCGTTCAACGCGCATCCTGTCTAAAAGGGTAAAAGAACACTATCCAGCGTGGCTACAGAAAGGAAATAATGGCCATATAAGGAGTGCAATAATCGAACATCTCGTCAATACTGGTCATTCCATCTCAACGAACGCCTCCTTCAAAGTAATCTACAAAGTGAAGAACAACCTTCCAAAGACAGTACGATTCCGTCTTCTTTGCATCGCAGAAGCCCTAGCCATCCAGTTGGAGGAACCAGAACTATGCATACAAAAGAAAATTATCCAACCACTTTTACTCGCATGGTAACTACTCCTTTGATTTGACCTAACTTTTCTTTGTTTGTTTGATTTGACCTTACTTCTGTTTGTATGCTTATTTTTCTAACTTAAAACCCTTGTGTAATTCTGTATATTATTTTGTTTCCATGTACACCCTTTGAGCACAACTCATTCATCAAACTATTCATGCCATTACGTAACTCTTATTTAACAATCATTTATGACAACTCATCACTTTTGTTGCTATCCTCTTATCAACATCCAATTCATCTGAACCTACTAATTGTATTTTCGTTTGACAAATTTAATGTATACACACACACACACAAAATAACCATATATATTTGCGATTGTACAGCTATGAAAATGAATTCGCCGAAAAGAGACTCTTCGCTGAACTACTTGTCTTCTGTCTACTAATGTTCGAATGGGAATTATTCATGAATTTTTCCTTGTCTCTTGTTTCTATAATTTGAGATCAACTCGGTACATTGTTACCTAATTTATTAGTCACTCACTACCTTACACATCTCTTCTCTTTGTTACGTGACTCCTTTACCATTGTATGCATGCATTTATTTTTGTTTAGACTTGAGCTGCCTGTGTAAAGACTAAATAAGCGCAATTTTTTGAGCACAGTTGCCTAATTGTGGAACATTCTGTCAACTGACAACATGTAAAATTTGTGAGTATGTTTGAAACTTTTCTGTACGTAAACCTCATAATTTATTTAGGCTGTAAGGGGCAGCTAATGAGAAGCCAACGAAATAAATGATGGTACCATATTATCCTGCACAAACCACCACAGTTGTTCTTGCTTTATTCAACCCTTAATAAAATATCGAATAAACTAATCAGTATGGAACTGCATAATACGACATACTGCCACAGTGTGAAAATTTCATATATAAATTTTAAAAAATCCCACAGTTGTTAATTTTTTTAAATGCGTTTTATTTTCTTCTTTCATGGTACATATGGCATGAAATAACACCAATTGGTGTTGAAATAGAGAGGGATGACATTCATTGCCTGCCATTACTTTTTTTGACTAACTGATCGTACTACCTATTTCTGATTACAGTAGTATTCCAACTATTTGTGCAAAGTTGAATGTCACACCTCATTAGATTATTCAAAAATGAAGTTTATTTAAACGGTACTTTATTTGTATTTAAATTTTTCAATTTCCTAATAACCTCGGATTGATGTCTTTTGCATGAATTTCGTTTTTGTGGATTTTTTGACAAACTTCTTTCCTCCCTGTTACTTCCAACAATAAAAACTTTATTTGAATATGAACCAGAGGCATTCACTTTCTCTTTGGATACCGATGGACGTACTGTAGAACTGACTGATTTTCTAGCAGATTCTATTCTACTAAGGTGAACAGTCCGGTAGGCAGAAGTATTCTGTTCCTTATCTTTTTGAGTCAAAGATAAATTTCTTCTATTGAGTTTTGCTGGTATCTTGGCAATATTTTGACATGTCGCCTTTGTTTTAAATGAATGCTCCGTTTGGCGCTTGTTTTGACTTATAAAAGTTGAATGTTTCTTTATAATATCTTCTGAATCATTTTGTATTTCAGTTTTATTGACTGATATTTCTTTGCTTTCATTATTTGATCCAAATTTTTCAGAGTAGATTGAAAATGAATCTAATTGTTGAATATTTTCATAATCGCTTATCATTTCTTCAAAGGTGTATAGTGTTGTTGAATTTTGTGTTGTTTTTAAGTTGTATTTTTGTAAAGTTGTATCATCATACGGAATAAAAATTGAGATATTTGTTGACTCAGAATAGATATCTGTATCCCCATAAGAGGATCTTGACTTCTTTCGTATAGATTGATGCGATTCTGAAGGTAAATTTAAATGATTACTCAATGATGAATTTGTCAATTGATCTTTCATTTTACTAGGGTTTTGAGTTGCTTCTATTGGATTAATATCTTCGATAGTTATTAATATATTCTGTTCAGCTTTGCATAATGCTGGTACATTATTAACAAGAACAGCTGGATGTTCCTGTATGACATTTATATCACAACTTCCAGGACAATCTTCAAAATCTAAAGTATTTAAATGAGCTCTGAGTAGATATCGAGTATTACGGCTTAGATGTTCATTTGAATTTAGGTCATTCTTCCTCATTCGCATTAGTGCCTTAGTCAACAAATTTGTAGCATAAACTATTTCATAGATTATCATTTGATTTGTATCAAACTTTTTAAATAATGTGCCACTTTTTGAGATGTTATTCTGATTGGATGTTTGTATATTAACCTCGCAAGGTGTATAATCTCCTCCTAAGTTGATCTTGCCATCATCTCCATGCATTATAGTATCATTCAATTGACTAACAATTTCATTTAAATGGTGTATACACTGAATGTATTTTATGTCGTCGTCTGTGAAATCTTTTCGTACGATGTCATTTTGTTTTAATGCATTGAATCTTTGGCGTACAGTATTATTATTGTTATTATCTCCACTTTCGTTGTTCAAATTCATAAATGTGTTCAATATCTCTTTAGATAGTGATATATTATCATGTTCTGTAGTTTGTTTATTGATCAAGTCCTGTGCCTTACTTAAAGAAGAGGATTTTCGCTGTCTTTTATGCTTTTGAAACTTTCTTTTATGATTTTCTTTGTGAATACATAAAGATTTAATTAATTTATCTACACTACACCATGTGAAATAATTATGTCTATCATTTGTTGATTTGTAAGCCATTTTCCCGTAAATTTTGAAATTAAGACACTGAATTTATTGACGCACCATTAAAAAACATATTTGGCGCGTAAATTTTGTTTTAAATAAAAGTAATACTTAACAGTTTTGCGCTTCATTTCATCGGTCTTCTTTAACGTTTAAGCGTTCTTTTACACTTAATTTAGTTTTGAATAACAACAGACATACTTGTAAGCCTATGGTCAGTGATCATGTGATATATTGATTTTTTGGTTATTCACATGTTTTATTGATTCGTTGGGCGATTTGTGATGTTTGATTTTGCGATAGCCGGTTTAAAATATTTTCGCAATTTTCTTTTTGTTAAGCTGGAAACTTGGTTCCAGCATCAAAAAAGAAGCATTTCCGATGGTCTACTACAGACTTTTATCAGCGGCCACCTTCTTCGCTTGCTCGATTTTGAAGTTCAGATTGTCCAGCTAGAAAGAATTAGCAACCAGAAAGTGTGGGGACAAACAAACCAAGAACCTATTGCTCAACAGTTATTCCGAAGAAAATGGCGATAATATTGGGCACACGATGAGGAGATCATCGAATGACATCGCGCTTCAGTCCCTCTTTGGATTGGAACCTGAATGGTAAATGACGACTTAGGTATTTGGTTCGAGGGTGATATGGAGGAGATCGTGTGAGAAGGAGATGAGAGATTATGGTCAGCCGTGGAGCCGGCTGAAGAGGATAGCAGAAAATAGAAGACAGTGATGTTAGTATGTGTGTAAAGTGGAGACGTATTTTTGAAACTCAAGACTGCCTACTATCGTCAGTGATTTTCCTGATTGCGGTAGACTGGATAATGTGACAGACAGCGGGCAGCGAGAAAAAAAACAGGTATAAAACGGATCCTCACGAAAAACTTGAAAGATCTGGAATTCGCCGATGACATGTGTCCGATTTCCCACAAACTGGAATATATGCAAGTGAAAAGCAACAAGTTTCCAGATGAAGCATCAAAGATAGGACTCCAAGTAAACACAGAGAAAACAGGGGTAATGAAGATTCATGGCCAACACCAACAGCAACAACAGACAACAGTCAACATAAATGGGAGGGTCTTGAAAGAAACAACCTCTTTTACCTACCTACCTAGGAAGCATCCTTTCAACTACAGGCGGAACTGACGAGAATATCAAAGCAAGGATTGGGAGAGTGTGGTGATTGACAATTTCTATCTCTGTATTGTTTAAATACTTACTGTTGACTGTTGATATGTTTCTTATATGAATTGCATAATAATTCCGCTAAATACAAATTCCTGAATTCTGCCCTCTCTGTGTTTTGTTTGGATTCGTGTAATTCGGTCATCTCGAAATACTAATATTACGATTACAATAAATTACTACAAATTGGCGTCGCGATGGAACTAAATAACCTGGGAAAATTTCCTATTAATGGTTCTCCGCGGGAGATTGCTGATTATTTGGAATGCTTCGATGCGTGGTGCATTTCAAAGAATGTTCGGGATGACAAAATACCAGCACATTTCATTACTGCTATTGGGCTAGATGCGTATAGCCTAGTAAAGACTCTGTCATTTCCAGATAAACCTATTTCTCTGTCATATGTCAAGATTCGTGAACTTCTGATAAATCACTTTCATGTAACTACATTTGAGACCCGAGAGAGGGCTCACTTCAACAAACTGGTTCGTGCTCCCAACCAGAAGATTCGAGAGTTCATTCTTCAACTTCAAATTCAAGCTTCAAAGTGTAACTTTGGAGATCAGCTGCATACTCAACTACGTGATCGTCTAATTGCTGGAATCAATATTCCTAAGTTAGAGAAAGAGTTAATTCAGATTCCTTCTTGTACTTTTCAAACTGCTAAAGATTTATGTATTACATATGAAGATGTCAATAATGAATACTCTGCTCCCACTACGTCAGTATCTGATGTTATGCTTTCTAAAGTCGAAAATACAAGTGTTCATGGAAAGCAATCCAAACTGCCGTCCACAGGTAATAGAATGCAGCGAGAGATCAAAAACATTAAACCGTGTTTATCCTGTGGAAAGTTACATCTACGAAGCACTTGCCGTTTTCGGGGTGCTAAGTGCCATAAATGTGGTAAAGTTGGACACATCAAGACTGTTTGCAGAAGTTCGAATACTTATGTTGCTCAACATTCTTATAATTCTCCCAAGCTGTCTAGTAAAATGGAGTCAATGTGTCTTTCAACCTTTCAAAATACTCAAGCTAATCCAATGAAAACCTCCACTACAAGTTCAGCAACTCAAGCGTCAACTGTTTTCAAAAATGAGGTAGCTGAGTTACAATGCGAACTGTCGAAAACACGAAAAGACCTGAATGAGATGAGAGAGCAACTGATTAAAATGGAGGAATTGCTGCATATGCATAGACTGCGTCTGTTGAATGCAGAGCATACAAGTACCCGTGAAAGTCCTGCAAAACTTTTCAAATCTCGAATTCTCAAAAAGCATCTGATGTCCACGACTTCTAATGTACATTATTACAAAGGGAATGACTATAGACCTTCTGTTGGAATTATACTACAAAAAATGGGAAATCGAGTGGTGAAGATATTAGACATCAAAGATCACTCAGTTCATAACGGACACCTGGACAAAGTGACAATAAATGAAGTAGGTCGTTCCAATTATAATATTAATGATTCCGCTAATAATCCTGATTTTGTAGATAATTCAGAAATAGGTCCAGATAATACTGATGAAAATAATATCACAGAATCAGTTAGAAGGTCGCAGCTACTTGCAAGCAAACCGAGACATCGTTATAAATACGCAAGGAGATATTCGACGTGTGGCGGATGTGGTGATTGACAATTTCTATCTCTGTATTGTTTAAATACTTACTGTTGACTGTTGATATGTTTCTTATATGAATTGCATAATAATTCCGCTAAATACAAATTCCTGAATTCTGCCCTCTCTGTGTTTTGTTTGGATTCGTGTAATTCGGTCATCTTGAAATACTAATATTACAATTACAATAAATTACTACAGAGAGCAAGACAAGCTTTCATTACTCTCAAGTCTGTGTGGAGGTCAACAGCACTCAGCATCAAAAAATAAGATCCAGATTTTCAAATCCAATGTGAAGTCAGTGCTACTATACGGGTCAGAGACTTGGCGAGTCATAAAGAGCATCTCCAACAAACTTCAGACCTTCATTAACAGCTGTCTTCGCTCAATACTCAAGATCAGATGGCTGGCCAGAAAAGATCAGCAACAGGGGTCTCTGGCAATGATCGAACCAACCCAACCCAGCAGGAACCAACTGTGCAACAAATAAGCAGGAAGAAATGGAGGTGGATTGGTTGGCCATACACTGAGGAAACTATCAAGTGGCATCACTAGACAAGCCCTCGAGTGGAACCCAAAAGGGAAGTGGCGAGTTGGTCGTCCAACGGTGACTTGGAGGAGGTCGTGTGAAAAGGATATGAAAGCATGTTGGCAGACCTGGAGCCAGGTGGAAACTTTAGCTGAGAACCGAACGCGATGGAGACGCGTGGCTGAAGCCCTATGTTCCTCTGGGAATTAAAGGAAATAATAATAACGTTCCACTCGGAACCCAGGGAACAATAATAATTATAATGTCGGATATTATGAGTGAACTTTGGATGAGTAGCTCAGCTCTATACCAGATGAGGTACTAGACGCATCCTCTCCATAGAATTCGAGGATATTAGACCTCTGTGAACCACGGATGGTAGTATAAAAATACATATCTGCAGTAAAAGAATCTTGGAATGAGCAGCATCTAAATGTTGGCAGCTTTCGTTTAAAAGGCTTCAAGAAAGGTCTGATTGGAATATTGTTTAACCGCAATGAAAATCTCTGTTCAAGTGGAAGACTTCATGGAGAACCCTATAAGACAAGTGCTATTCTTAAAACCTTACTGATAAATACAAAAAACATCAAGTATGAAGGCAAAATCAGATACAATGAGAAAGACAACAGTCTTCTTAAAGGTTGGATTCGAAAAGGTGATGAAGTCTTTGGAGGAGCCAAGTACAAACTAATAAATGGAGCATTGAATAAGACTTATCCAGGTGCCAAATTAGTCATATTTTACAAAGTAGCTGTTCATTGAAACAATGCAGATCCTTCATTTATGTTATTTCCAGCTGCTTATAGCAATATACATGTATTAGCACATTTACAGGATTTGTGATCATATATTCTAAAACATTCCAAAAACTTGTGACTCAAAGACGCCAAAGATTTCTGTAGGGCGATTGATTGCAAGTTCTTGGTCAGAAATGAGTTCGTTCGAATTCACTGGGAGATATAATGCTGGAAGTGCAGCTATGCCTGACTTCCACAGTATTTAGATTCCAAAAGAAAATATATTCAAACAAACTGAGGGAGTTGCCATGGTGTCACCAATATCTCCGGTTGTGGCAGATATATTCATGCATAGGTAGGAAAAGTTAGCGATTGAAACGTTCAGCACCATCCCAAAAGTAGGTTGGAGGTATGTAGATGATACATTCATTGTACTTCTTAGAACACAGGATATACATAGATTTTTCGAACACATTAAATCAAAGATGGAGGCAATTCAATTCATTTATGAATTAGAAAGTCAAGAAAGGGAACTTCTAATGTTAGATTGTAATGGAAAAGAAAAAATGAACAAGATAGGGAGTTGAACACTGGTGTTTGCAGGAAACCCACACATTCAAACAGATATTTGGACTTCCAATCATCCCATCCTATGTCAGTGAAAATAGGATTGGTGAAATGTTTAAGTGACAGAGCACAAAAACTAAGCAGTACCAAGGAAAGTCTAAGACAGAATGTAAGAAGAGAGAAGAGAAGCTTTGAAACTTAATAATTACCCTGATAAATTAACCAGAAAGTATATAGGAAGATTTAAATATTATAAATATTAGTGATAATGATACTAATAATATTAATGACGACATGCATGTCAAACATACACAGGATAATGACAACATCAACAATGGGGAATACAAATCATCAGCAATACTTTCATGCAAAGAAAGAACTGCGGAAACTTTATGAAGAATTCTCAACAATTCAAGCAGGAATAAAAGTGGCTGGCATTCAGACCCACAGACTCACTTGGAAATAAGCTTTGTCGTTTAAAGGGTCCTGTGGAGGCAGTCAAACAAAGCAGTTT